CCAAAATTTCATCAGTTGTACAACATCCAAACAACAACATCCTCGCTACTTCTACTACTACCACCATTACTACCGACAGAAACTACAACAACGCCACAAAACAACACAACAACAACAACGCCACAGAAAACAACAACTACATCGCCCAGAAATTTGCCAAAACTCACACCAGAAAAATATCCGAAAAATATTCTCCATATTTGCATTTAAATTTTCGCCATCCAAGACAACATCAACAACAAACAAATTATCCACATCATCAACAACAACAACAACAAATACACTATCTTCAACATCGACGACAACATCAACAACTACATCAACAACAACAACAATTGTTGAGCAACGTCAAAAAGTCAACACTTCGGCATATCCACATTTCAGACATAAGCGAAAGAAATTTGCCAACCTTAACAAAAACATCAACAACATCAACAACAACAACATCAACAACAACATCAACAACAACATCAACAACAACATCAGCAGCAACAACAACAACAACATCAACAACAACATCAATTCTTTCAGTATTATTAACGCAACCTACACGGAAACAACAACAACATCAACATGACATCAAAAACAACTCATCTATTAAATGTAATAATAATAATAATATAATTAATAATAATAATAACAACAACAATAATAATAATATTTATAAATTGTCGTCATCGTCATCATATGTATTTTCGTCAGAAACATCTGTGACTAAAATATCCTCCTCATCATCATCATTATCACCACCACCATCATCATCGTCATCGTCATCGTCATCATCATTATCATTACTACCATCATTCCCACCATCATCATTATCATCATCAAAGGATGCTATCCATGATACTACCTCTGATACTGCCGTTGATGTATCTTCTAGTGTTACTACTACTACTACTACTACCACTGATGCTGCTGCTGTAGCTACTACTATTACCACTACTACTACTACTAATTTTACTACTACAGCTGCTACTACCACTGCTGCTACTTTTTCTAGTGACATTTTGGCGCGGAAAAAACGCTCGCCAATGAAGAGAGATCTGGCCGAGCAAGTGAGTGGCTGGGGGAAGAAATCCATCATGCATAGTTACTATACGAAGACCGTTTTTGAAGTGAGTGAGTGAATGAGTGAGTGAGTGAGTGAGTGATTGAGTGAGTGAGTGAGTGAGGGATTGAGTGAGTGAGTGAGTGAGTGAGTGAGTGAGTCAAGGATTGAGTGAGTGAGTGAGTGAGTGAGTGAGTGAGTGAGTGAGCGAGTGATTGAGTGAGTGAGTGAGTGAAGGATTGATTGAGGGATTGATTGAGTGAGGAATTGAGTGAGTGAGTGAGTGAATGAATGAATGGATAGACAGACGAATGAACGAATGAATGAATGAATGAATGATGGATGTATGAATGAATAAATGAACTGATGGATAGATTGATGGATACTTGGATAAAAATTGTGTCGACAATGGTTGAAAGATATATGGATAAAATATAAAAAAATAGATAGACTGACAGATAGAAAATAGATAGAACGGTAAAGAAATGAATGAATGAAAGAATGTACGAGATACAAAAAACGAACATCAAAGCTTGTCTAAAAATTTTTATGTGTAAAAATTTTGAAATTAATTACAAATATAAACTGGTAAGTAGATGGAAGCTGATGGCAGGTGTCGATGGATTGATAGACAGATAAAAGAATAGATAAATTATTGAATGAACGAACGAACGAAGGATTGTATAAATGAATGAAAGAATGAATGATCGATTGACGGTCGATGTTCAATGGATCGGCATTAA